GTAAAAGGCCTAGAGCGGCTGGAGCAGCGGCTGGCTGTGATGGTGGCTGCCCAGGAGACTTCTCAGGCCTGGTCTTCACTGGGAGAGGAGGGGCCGGTTTGTTTTTTGTTTCTCTTCTTTCAACCAAGCTTTACTGAATGCATATGGCTGATGTGCTGAAACCTGGGGGTGGCCGCAGAAGGGCTGCAGCGCTAAGGCAGGGGAGCGGAGCGGAGCAGGGAGGGCAGAAAAGGAAACAGGGGGAAAATGGAGGGAAGTGCCGGAGCCTGGGACTGCCGAGACGGAGAGAATTAGCAAGGAGAGGGGCCAGACACAGGAAACGGGCCGGGGAGGGAAAAGACTGGCCTTTTTAATGAGCATATTTGCCAGAATGGGTTCCCTTTCTTATTGAATTGCCAACCCAGCAACTCTTTTCTTTCCAGGATTAGAGGGAAACGGTTCAGTTTTTGGGGAGAGTTAAAGGCCATTTGTGTGAGTGATAGCCCAGAGCCGTCTAAGCCAGCTGGGGCTGGAGGGAGCTAGCTCCAGCCATCGGGGTCCTTTATTTCTTTTTGTTATTCAAACAGGGCTTGGGTGATGGCTGCCATCCCAGCCATCATGTAAAATGCTTCCCTCCAGCCTTTTGATATGCATGCCCTGTGTCTGGAGGCAAAGTCCGGCTGTCTCCCTTGCAATCTCTCCACCTACTGGGGAAACGTACCTGATAAGGACAATGCTGTTTTCTCAAGAAGGAAAACTGAAAGCAGCCCGGACCCAGGCTGGGGGAGCTGCGCTAGTCCCCGAGGCCAGCCGGGCCCGGAGGCACGGCCTTGCCCCGAAAGCTCGCAGGTGGGAGGAGGATGAGCGGGCGAGCTCGGCCGGGCAGGGCCCGAGAGTCCCCGTCCAGGCTCTCTAAGCAGTTAATATTATGGCATGGTCTTTACCCGGTTTGGCAAACCTTAAAGAAACTGGTATTGCAAAACTAGGGCGGGATCCGAAGTCAGCGGGTTCATTGTCTCCGTGGGGTATAGCTGCAGGGAATGGCCTGGTCACCGAGGCAGTGTCATGGGCTGCAGCGAGAGCCAATCGCTTGGGGAGCTTTAAACATGAGAGCTGGAAATCTGGATTATTTTATTCTTCCTGGGTTCTTCTGTGAAATGTTTTGCTGCAGTGTATGTCCATATATTTGCAGTGCGTTAGCCAGTACAAACAGTGCTGTGCAGTTTTCCTCCTCCCCCCATGAGAGAGAAGCATGCGAGGGGAGCACTCTGTTTCTTATTATTTTCATAATGCCCTGGGTGCACACGCTGGTGTGTGGTGCTGGGAGGGGAGGCGAGGACAAAGAAGGCACCTCGCTCTTGAGCGGAAGGTGCTGAGGCTTGCGATGAGTCCTGTCCTGCGGGAGTTCCCCGGTGGGGAAACGGGCTGGATGGCCCTCTTCTCCACCAGGCAGGACGGTTTAGAGTTTGCAGCTTCATTTTTAGGCGCAGAGGCCTGCAGTAATAAGAAGAGGGATGGGTATTGCAATCTTGCTGGCTGGGTGTAGGGCTTTTGGGAAACCAGGAGTTTAACTAGCTTTACACGGTCTGGGTTCTGGAATACCCTTCCTTTTCCACGTGCGTATCAGAGGATGGTGGTGGCATGTCCGTAGGAAGTGTTCTCGGATGGTGCGCCTGGAGAAGTGCACGTAGCAAGCACTTCTGCTCCCGCGTGCACACACGCTGCAGGTCCTGCGCGTACCTGGTGTTTTGAAATGTCTGTCCTTACAGTCCTGTGCTGCAGCCATCTCATGGACGGGCAGAGCCTTGGCGTGTGGGGGTTCTCAGCTCTGCAAGCGAATGATTACTTCCAATCAAAGTAATGTTTCCCCCCCCCCAACTAAACAGTAAACACAAAAAAATATTTTGAAGCTGGAGCTCCCTAAGCACACGGCAAAGCTACGCTTGGCCCATCAGATGCTCTGAGTCCTGGTTACATACCCTGCAGGACGGCTGCGAGAGTTGCGTTCCCAGTGGGTTGGGACGGGAGCAGGACCACCGTCTGGCCCTCCTCGCCCGCGGAGGCTGTTGTGGCGGCGCGGCGGCCAGCTCGGCCCGCGTGCCGT